CATAGCAATTGATCAAACATGAGTGTATCTATAGCAGTTAGCAGTTGTGTTTAAATTCCTAATGAGTGACGAGGTGAGCTATCTGAATAACGAGCATACACATGGGAGAATTCCAACAAAGTAGCATGCGTTACCCATGCAGAGAATTCCAAAAAACAAACGGTTGTCGCGCGTCAGTTTGCTTTGATTTGAATTCCTAATTTAGAAAACAATCAACCGTTCACGTAAATGCTGTCCGCCTTTATTACAACTTCTTTATTATGAAAATAGTGTCAATTACCATTCGATTGAGTAGCCACTGTTTTAATGAACCATTTATAAGTAATACTAATAGTGTTGGTTTAATGTTACATAAATCGCCGACAATGTATTTGAAGATTGTTGAACTTAGATGATAACAGTGGTGCCAAGATACCTAGTTCAACAGTATCAGATTCGTGGAAACTAGGAAGAGGTTCACCGACCAAGAAACAGAAAATTTATTTACAATAAACAATGAAAATGCGTTTAGTGTTATGAACATGGTACACTCTCCGGGCTTTAAATCTATTTGTGGCCGTTGACCCGTGAAATTCTGAGACGTGTCGGTTACTACCGTCTTATATTATCATCATCTATGCTTATCTTTTGTTTCCCAACGTCTTGCAACACTTCTCTCGTTATAAAAGCGTGTATGAGCTCGACATTTCTTGAAACCAATGTGTTATGTTCTAAATATTTCAATTCCAAAGCACACATAAATACTTAGGTTGGTAGGTACTTATTTTGTATCATTTGCTCATCGGTTATTCTTATTAAAAATGTTCTAATTAGGTAAATAGACCGTAGTTTCTAAATTGTACGTAGTAATAATAATCTAATTGTGTACCTAGTTCAACTTTGTGGAATAAGTAGATACCTGCCTACTTCCTTGTGGAACCATTGTGCTCTACAATGCAGCTACCTCGCCCTCAAACATGTAAGTACCTATACTTTGTTAGTATAGTTGCATAGAGACATGAGACATAGATAATGGCGCGCGTGTGTTTCTGGAATGTTTGGAATACCCAGATACCAAAACATGGCTTCTCAAATTAAAACGTAGGTTAGCCGTTGACGATAAATAAGTAGTCGTATATGGCTGCGAGTTATTTGAGGCACATCCAAATTAATTGCGTGTTAACAACAACACCACATGAGGATGGATATGTACCTATGTTTATATGGCAACAAGCGGCCTTATTTCAACGGTTTGTATTTGAATTAAAAAGTCGTTGATATTCGTTCACAAAACGAAATGTTCATTTGGTGTTCATTAGTTGAGCGTTATTTGTATTAACACGTGATTACAATTACTACTGGTTGATAAAGTTTTTTCATAGCTATTGAAAGTCATTTGTAAAGTTAAGATATATAGAATATAAGAAAAAAGCTTGGCGGTTTTCATTGTTTTTTAATTTTAAACTATTATGTTGTCTCTGTATAGTGTTTATTTTACAATTATAAGTAGTTACAGACATATCAGAAGTCCTACACATGTACTATTGTGTCAAAAAGCGAAATACAACTAAACTTATCAAACCAATTATTTCGTCATATTGCTTTTGTAGGTTTTCTTCTTTCGACATTTAATTGCTTATTTGCTGACCGTTATAAACGGAAACAACATGATTAATGTCTCCGTTTGTCTGTAGTTTGAAAATATTTATTGCTCATATTATTATGAATGCGAACAAAGAATGATTTGGCGTCGCCACTAAGGATTAAGAGACAAATTAACAACTATTTGTATGTGTGGTTAATGAATGAGTATGAGTAACTACAGTTAATAAAAATAGCTCATGGTTATGTTGCGTGTCAATCTGCCATTCTGTTATACGACGGTTTTTTATTCCGCGCATTTAACGCCACTAATTTACAACAACATAAATTTATGTTATGTAATAAGGCGAAAATGAAGCCAAATTGTTAAAATAGTATACTATAATGACTCGGTTTACGCTGTGTTTACATTGGCCAGCACTACTTTAGTGTAGAATCAAAATAGAAAGAATAATAATAAAAGTCGACAGACTCTACCACGCCGATCACCCAAAAATGCTCATAGTGACTAATAGACAGTTTTTAAAGATTAATAAGATGTGATTTATCTATTTTGATCATATAGGTATACATATTTCAATTAATACATTTGTTATTTGTCATTATGTAAATTTAGGTACGTATACCTAAGTAGTTCAAAACAATCATTAGGTGGGAACAAACACAGTTTATTTATTCCAAAAGATATGTATTGGTGCTTGAACTTAAGCTGAAAACCTAAGTATCAATTTTAAGAGTATAAAGAAAATGAATACTTGTCTAACTTTTAAACTATTACTAGAAGTGGACAGTGCTGGTCACGTTAAGCTTCAACTTGTCATCAACTAAGCACTTCAGAGTAGACAGATCTATATTTATGTATTTTAGTTATATTAACAATTCAACAATGTTCTACATTGTGCATTAAAGCCTACGGGCCACGTAGCCCAGGGCACATCGTAAATTCAGTAAGTACACCTAGTTCTACCAGAAGAAATTTCACAAGTTCGTTGGCAATCTAGAAAACTGCTTAAATGGGTCATTATTTTCGGAAAGCCTTCCCTCTGAAAACGTTGGTACACCTTAATCCACTTCTGTAATAACAGGCGTGATGAGACGGTTCGAACATATTTGTAAATAAACTTTGTTTTTAGTTTTATCAAGGCTGATAAACAAAATTGAGCGTTATCTTCGGAGTTATTTATTTTTATCAATGCGAGTATTTTGTATACTTATTAATACTTTTAATAAAATTAGGTACATTTAGCTTGGTACTGGTAATGATAACAAAAACCTCGCATATAGAGTAGGTACTATAGTTTATGTTATTCATGCATCTCAATCTTATTGAGACTTAGTCATGCTTTTTTTTACTGAAGTTGACTCATACTAGAGTAGGTAATAGGTTGGTCTTCAGAATTTCTGTGAGTAAAATATTTATTGTAGGTAAGTACGGTTTGAATCTAATATAATTTATCGTGTGTATTAAAAATTGTTCAAAAGTATATGAACATTTTACTTTGTAGAAGATATAGTTGTATTGGAGTCACGGTCGTGACCTTCGAACGTCGAAAGGCCAATGTTCTGCGGTGTTTGTGTAAAATCTAGCATTTAAACTGAACCAGGCGTCCTCGCCCACGCGACGCTCGTTGCTAGACCATTTAAGAGTTTAGTATGAACAACCTTTAAGTGGATAATGTAGGGCTATGTATGTTAAGCAAAGGAAAGCAATGAAATGTGGAGAAATGTCAAAGCTAGAGGGTTAATGTCTCGCTCCAACCAGTGAATGGGTTAATTGGAACACTTTTACATTTGATAATCAAGATTGCATTTCGAAGCCTAACTTAAAATCGTTATGTGGGTACAAAACACTTGCTGTTTGAGGCGCTTAAATATAAGCATATCAGTTTTCATGATTTTAGGTATTACTAACTTTAAACAATTGATTGTTATCGTAATTTATTACCCTGAGAAAAATAATTAATCCGTACAGCGGGTAGGTAATTAAAGGTATAAATGAATCATTCCTACAGATGACTGAGAGTATGCTTGCAGCTGCAGTGCAGTCTATTACTTTAATAATTACTATAGGTACCTACCTACTTAGGTATCTACCTCTACATAATCGCATTGATTATGCTGTTGTCGTCTCGTCATATTGAAGCTTATTAATATGTCTTAAGCATCTTCTATTACTATTTAATGAATCGTAGAGACAGAATTGTTAGGTATGTATTTTAATTTAGTTTTATTTCAGCATTGCTGAATAGTCATTTTAACATTTCACTTTGCACGGTGCACCATAAACTTAAGTAAGGCCGTTTTTTTACAAAGGTTTAGGGAATGATTCGACTGCTTCGTTCTAGTATCGCGTTAATTACGATTAATTCATCAAAGAAACGGAAATATTATGTGTCATCATGTCAAAATCACCTCACCATTTCAAGTTTAGTATGCATTCATAAAAGGTTAGACACACCATTTTGGCTAGTAGTCGTAAACAGAGTTACGTTTAAATAGGTTCGTTGCCCGGCCGCTGTATCGACCCGTGACGTCACGAGCGGCGTGCTCCTAAAAGCCGCTCCGTGCGATGTGGATGGGGTACCCCAATGTTCGTGACACCCGTTTTTACGCATTAACTGCGTAGAAAGTCACGAATGAACAATATTATATTTCAAAAACACGTATGCACGTATTCATTTTATCTGTGCATACTTTTTGACTTCTAAGAAAAATAAATTTGATGAATCGAATTCTTTCTGAATATTTATTTAATTTGTTATCATAGTAATACTGCTACTAACTACTCTCCCTAAGGGCCGATTTTTCAATCATCCTTTAATTCTTCATTGTAGAATAAAATTGACATTTGACAGTTTTTATTATGGAAGAAATGAAGAATTGTCAAATATACAACGTTATTCCGCAATAAAAAAATATGTGGTGTTGGAAAAATCGGACCTTAAGTGTGGGACAGCCATGCTTCGGCACGAATGGGCCGGCTCGACCGGAGTGGTACCACGGCCTCACAGAAAACCGACGTGAAGCAACACTTGCGTTGTGTTTCGTCGTGTGTGTGAGGTTACCGGAGGCCCAGCTCCCTCCCCCCTTTCCCAATATCCCCAACTCCCAAATCCCCAACAATCCTCAAACTCCTAATCCCCAAAAGACCGGTAACGCACTTGTAACGCTTCTGGTGTTCCAGGTGTCCATGGGCGACGCCGATTGCTTACTATCAGAACATCCGTCTGCTCGTTTACGGCATATACCATAAAAAACCATAGTTGGAAGTCCTTTAAACTGAATTCTATTGAAACTGAACCAGCCTAGAGTCCCTTAGCAAACCAGAAGTTTAGCCTAACTATTTACCCCAAAGTAGTCCGATCTTTGTTAAATTACCGTTTTTAGATAAATAATCAACAAATAACAACTGAACTCACCTATAGCGGCCAGTGCCACGAGGGCAGTGAATCCAATAAACGACATGTTTTCACACTTGGACACTTCACAGATCACTATAGTTTCTTGCACTCACAATCGAAAAAAAAATTAAAAGATCGTTGTGCCGCTATGCGGCTGGGCTCCGCCCGAATCTGAAACAAATTAAGGAAACATTTAATTAAAAAAAAAATGGGATGGCGAGCAATTTTCTCAATAATATTACACATTCGATGGTACTTATGATAAAGTAGCACCATATTCCGAATGAAATAAAAAGGTTGAAAGTCGATTCGAGAGCGTCTACCTCCAAATTAGTTAATAATAACGGTATTTATTTTTATAGGTTTTGTAAAAGCTTCCTTCCTGAAGTCTAATCGACAGAATGATTGTTTGAACTAAAGTCCAATACTCCCAGAATAATGTTTTCTTAGTAGAGTAGGTAATGGATAAGAAGTATTAATAAAAACACAATGGCTTATATGTATATATTTTCTTCATGTAAATATATTTAGATAAGCTTCAATCAACACGGTTCATTACGGAAAAGAATCAGAAGACAATGTCGCCCTATGTAGGGTAAGCGTTATGCCAAATAGGGAAAGACAATCTATTGTGAGTCAGGCAATATTTGTCATGTCAAGGTTAACTCGACAACATATAATGTTCCAACTTTAATACTACATACACTGCTTTTATAAGATACGTATTTAGAAACTACCTTGTGGACATATCCAGTAAAGCTGACTGTGTCAGACTCTCTATTGACTGGGAATGTCGAGTCTCGCATGCACGCAATGTCTGATTTTGATTGCGTTAAAACAAAAAAAAACATGCCTTTTACACTTTTAACCTAAATATGCGGTAATATTCTGACAAAATTAAAAAACTACCAGGTTTCACGATGACTGGGGGCAAAAAACAGGGCGGAACTACGGTCAGTCACGCAAGGATAAACCAATTTGGTGTAATGTACACGTACCTATACACTCCCACAGTGTTTGTTTAATGCACTTCCACGGAGTTGTACAGGCTCACTTTAAAACATCGGTAAAAACAGCTCACCAAATATTAGCGAGCACATTTTTTGGGCAGTTGGTACTCCTCTATAGCGAGTTCAAGGGCGTTCAACCCTATTTCTGGCTTGTATGTAGTTTGCTATCCCTAATTTATTTAAAAGGGAGGTGTGAGCTGAGGGATTAAAGTATTAACAGATGGACATTATTACTTGTAGTTTTACTTGCGTCCTGTCCATAGAAATAAAGTTTTACCTACTTGTTTATATTATTGGTGGATTAGCTGAGATTTTTAGGCTTAAATATATTTTTATAGTTTATGTACCTATATCTAATTCTTATTTGGCTTTATAAAACGATTTTTGTGCAACCCATTCAACTAATCGACTGCTCTTAAACTGTCAAACACCAAGCGGTCACCGGTGACCGCGACCTATTGTTCTTTAATTGTGTCTATAAAACCGGTACTCGACGAGTTAATACATGATCCAATAATAACCCAGACTTGTCTTGTAAACGTGTTTTAATATTTTGCATTATAATGTGGTAGACCTAGTAAATGATGCATTTAATGGAGACACTATATCAACATCGAGTTTATCCTTAGACTGGTTTATCTATCATCGCGCGTTCTACATATTTCGACCAAATGGTACTACGAGTAGGTACCTACTTACATAATGTACCTACTTACATCTAATACTTCTTGAGGAATGAAGTGACATCAGCGCGCCAATTTGTAAAATAAACCAATCACAACGAGAATCTAGATCACTTACTCCTTCGAATTGCCTGCAGCCATCGAATGTCTAGCACCTATTTATTTTACCTACTTAGATTTATTAGGAACAGACTCGGTACCTACCAACCACGAAACTTTTAGAAAAAAATACAAATCTAAAGGTTACTCTAATGGACGAGCAAGTTAACCAGATGGGTCTTGTCTTTGCTATTTATAAGAACCTACCTAACCTAATCCAACGTGGTTAGACCATAGTATAAAGAACTGTTCTTTATACTATGGTTAGACGATCACTCATTCATGTTATGCAAATCAACTCAATTAGGCGCCATCAACAATCGTGTGACAGCAGTAATCAGCAGTTTGTTTATGTTGGACATTACCGTCGTATTGCATGTACCGGGAAGCCGTTAATGACGAACAACGACACACAGCGGAAAATAGAAATCAGTATCGGATCAAGTAACTTGACGAGTTTTTATCGATAATTTTATAATTTGACTATTGGAACCTTATAAAATAAACATATTATCAAAAATTAAGATGTTTTCGATACTGTTTACTGATACAGATCTACCATTTTTCACAATGCTTTTCATGACAAAGTAGGTCCCAGGTTTAATCGGGTAACGTTTCCGTAAACCACGACCGCATATCTACAGCACAAATTCAGGCTCGTACATGAGTGACGGAAGACTATTTTGGGCTCCATTATCCAGAAATGGCTACGGGCCGCTCGTGTTTGGATTTAACGAGAGAGCGTTTGGGTACGTATGTACATGCATTATATTATACGAACGTGGAACGAAATATAAATTAATGCTTGAGTTTATTGCAAAAGAAGAAAGGAAATTAGGAGATTCAAATGCAACCGCAGTTGCCTTTTGCAATACAAAATTGGCAAGCGTCGTCGTTTGTATTCATGAATTCTTTTTTATTCCTTTTTAGTCAACAATGATGCGATAAGTGTAAAATCGTTAAAATATTGTCGAGATACTTTTAAAACCTTTATAACTATATAGGCATTTAATTGATGCGTGTTGACACATTTGGCCTTATATTATTATATGGATCAGCCCTGTGGCTAATTAAGTTTGTAATGTAAACATTCTCAATACTGGTAATACTGGTAACGGTTTTATCTTTTAGCCGTAGATACTGATAATGCAATTTTATTATCTTATCCGTTCCAATCACAACGGGCGCGTGCACTAGGGCCCTAACATTATAGTAATTTGGCATTGAAAACTTTCAGTATAAAATAAAGTCTTGTCTATGAACTCTACGTCTGAGGCGGTATACGGGCTTGGTACATTGGTATTAAGCTATCGTTATAGATATTTGGTTCAATAGAATGGATCGACTCGCCTCCGAGCCGTCTGGGAAGCAGCAATACGAGTCTCCCTCCCCCTCCCTTGGTAAGTGGAAGCAAAGTTAGCAAATTCCTTTCCCCCCACCCTTAGAATCACCCTCCTACGCACGAGGACGACACATAGGGATATGCCACGGTACTATAGCTACGTCGTACGTATGAGCTGAGTGATAGGTTCTAAAATTAATAATGATAAGTTTTTTCGGGATTAAGGACGATGTGGAATCAATTGTCTAAAATTGGATTGACTACCTGATTTTTTTACGTATACTTTTAGCATTTGTCAATGCACTATGTATCTGTTCAATTCAAGAATGTTAGGTCTCTTTCTGTTCAGTAAGAATGTTAAACAGACACATAGGAAACTCTACTTCCATAAATTATAGTCACATCGTTAACTTTAAACACAACACTATCCTTATTAGTTATATATCAATTTGAAAAGAACGAAACAAGTATTATTGTTTGATTTACCACAAAGGGCACGTATTATTCTTCAGAATATTATTGTAAAGGGAGGTTCGGCTACCTGCTAAAATGCTCGAAAAACACGCTCCATCTGTTTTGGAACGTTTTGCACCTGCCGTCGAGGAACAGGCTTTTTCGGCCAATCGCAGGGGTTTTTCACCAACTCGACACGAGGAACTGATCACACGTGTGTCCAGTTGGTGAAACTTTAAATTAGCACTAATTATTCTTTCGTCATTTGGACACGCCAAGGTTTTTATGTATGTCCACATAGTGAAAATCAAATTAAGTTACTTTTGTGTTTTCGTCAACTGGACACACGTTCACATTTTACCCGAATGTATAACAAAGTACAGTCACGCAGATAATATTTTTGAATCACAATCATCGTTGTCCTCTAAACGTCCCACCTAGTAATTTCACCGGGTAATTTGTAATTATTCACCATTTGTGAATTTGTAAAAAATATATTTTTGACACCGAAAGTGTTTGAAAGTCGCTATTACCATGTTACGAGTACTATGCTTGTCAAATCTTCAACATGGAACCTGTTTTATTACAGTCTTTGAGTCTAACTCTAATATAAATATTTGATTGTTACTCATTTGTTTTATTTCAAAATTTGTCTTAAAAACGAAACAATTTTTAACTTAACTGTACCTTTTTTAGAAAAAAAATATAGGTGTGTCCAGTTGACGATAACATAAAAGTAATTAATTTTAATTTTCACTATGTGGACATACATAAAAACCTTGGCGTGTCCAAATGACGAAAGAATAATAAGTGCTAATATAAAGTTTCACCAACTGGACACACGTGTGATCAGTTCCTCGTGTCGAGTTGGTGAAAAACCCAATCGCAGCAGTACCTACATCGCTCAATTTCGAAATACTTATCTTTTAAATTTATTGACTTTATACGCACAACCTTTGTTTTTCGAGTTTTAGTCAGAGCGTATATGTCTTCCAAACGAATTGTCACCCCTCTTATTGTGGAACTAGGGGAAGGTCGAAAATGTAGAGGGGTCGCCGAAATTAATGGCCTAAATAAAAAAATTCAAAGTTATAAGCTCCTAATACTGAACACACAAGTGCACTGTAAGTAATGAAACGCAAATGTTAACAATGACCAACATTTTCTTCGTAGAGCAAATTTTATGAAAATACCGGTTTTCTTTGCAGCGAAAGCTAGCTTGTTAGATAGCCTTAGCATCTATTTATAAGTGGAGGAAGAGTTAAATCTAGGTAAGTGTATCTAACTGCCTTGTTTGTTACTGTTCCATACTGATTTTCCATGTAAGTATTCCATTGTAGATTGTACGTAAGCCTTACTTTGTTTTCAAATCGTTACAGCGCATATTCCAGACTGCTACCTACTACTAAGAAATTCAATGTATGGGAGGTGTCTGCTCCACCACGTGCTGCGACTTACAACTGAATGAATCACACTGATTACTCAAAGCTACCTTTATATGGATGATAAATTATTATAATATACGAAACTTAATTCAAAACAACGCAAGTACCTACTAAGACGTAAAACCGACAACGAACGATAATGAGTTTAAAAGAACTTTTAAATCTTAAGAAAAGGCATTTAAATGCATTGCGTTACGTCCGACTTCTAAAAGTAAATGAAAGAAGCCAAAGATTTTAAAAATACGTATCAGCGAAATCGTGCCCATATCAAAAATAACATCCGAATTAGATCGATAATTGCGAAACGTGAGTGACCAGCGAGTTTCTCAATATCCGCCACCCACTGGCATTTTGTTCTTTAGATTGGGACAAATACGGCCAACAATTTAATTTAATTGCTTGTTTAATTCAAGAAATTGAACAAAATTCAATATTTATTACGATTCGTGTCGGTACATACTATCGACGATAGTCGGCGAATCGTTCTACATAGAGGGGAACATTGGTGATAAACTGACTCATAGTCGACTTCAACACACAATTATTATTGAAACATTGTATACAAACGTAAATACCATATCAGAGAAGAAAATATCGAATTAAAAGCAAGATATTGCAGGCGACTCTATATCTACATTTTCGAGACAACATCGTTATCGATCGTGGTCGCGCATTCGCCGGGTCTGCGCTTTTGCAAAAAAACCTTTTATAACATAAACACGACGTGAATGTAAATGAAAATAGAGTATTGTATTGTAAGAGCCTTACCTGAGAGGAGACCGAGAGGTGGCTCAGCGCAGCACCCACAACACTTCACACAACACACGCGAAGGGACGAGTGGCGACAACCGACCCGCCCAAGCTACAGACGCGGTATGAGTAACTTGTATAGCTATGATATAAACGGCCGATGACATCCGACCGCAGAAAAGGATGGGTGTAGTATATCGTATCTGCTCTACGGCTCAGCGAATCAACAAAGTCCTGGCCGACACGGGGCGATTGTATCTGAGGGTCGCAGGACATGAAAGTAATGCGCACGCAGGAAATTCGTAAAAGACAGTCGCGGCTCGTAACCGTGCACTCCGCACTTGTGTATACTCCTATTCAGAGTATATTGAATTCAAGGTGGCTAGCTCCATCTCACTCACGTCTCGTAGGATGTGAGTTATCGACTGGAACAATATTTGCAATACGTAGCCATATCCTCTGTAAGCTTTGTAATTGGTTGTGAAGTATAGTGAAAAAAAAAATAGTAAATCGATATTTTATTTTATTAAAAGTAGGTTCATAATTTATAACAACATGAAAATAAATAACATTTCAATGGCAGTATTAGTATAAATAATTTCGGGCATATAACAGTTATAGAAAAATATTCTTAAAAAATTATAAACCATTATTTCCAATACTATAATTATTTTAATATAATGTGACTTTATGGAAGTTTTTTGTAGATAAGTCACATTTGTATATATTATATTGCTCTGTATAAAGATTTTACAAATAGAAAAATGTATGGCACATAAAAATAAATTCTTCACATTGTCTAGTACAAGACATAACATTGAACAGAGAGGACTAAACGTGAAGTACATATTCAGGAACGTTAGTATTAGCTAGAGTATGTAACGAGCTTATTATCTTGTCGCGGCTAGAAGCGTTTACTATTACTTCAACATCAACATCTACTCATAATTTCCATAAGATATTAATATTATATCTATCTAAAATTTTCTACACATGTTCTCAACATCTAGTCTACTAGCTTTCAAAATTTTATACTTAACACTACAATAAGATAATAGATTTTATTTATTATTATAAAATATATACTTATGTAAATATTATGGCAAAGGACTCGATACATATGTTTCACATTATGTATACAAATATTAAATAAAAAATATTCATATCTATCTATTTTTTCAATTACTTCTTGGTTTTATTACTTCACATCAAGATATCAGAAAATTACACATATAAAGATCATTTAATTTAAAAAATATATACCTATTAGTAAACATTGAAGGCTTTAGCAATTCTATTGTTGTACAATTTTAATGAGTACACACTTAATCAAAATATTAGTCAGTGCCGAACTAAACACGTGCCACGATGCTACGGGCCCCGAGCAAAAGGGGGCTTTACAATCAATACTTCACCTTAGCTAAACTTTGTAGATCGCGAACCCCTCAATAGGAGCTGTTAGGGGCCCCGTACGTGCCTAATCCGGCACTGTTATAGTCCGCAAGATATTGGTGTTACCGTTATATTAATAAGTTTTATGGAGTTGGCATGGTTCGGTAGTGGGGCAGTGGGAAGGTTTAGTTAGTCTCATGAGGTGCTGGCAGTTTCTCCCAGGAAGGCTCCACGCCCCAGATCTCCCGCGCATACTCTGCGATGGTACGGTCAGACGAGAATTTGCCCGAAGACGCGATGTTTTCAATCACCATCTCAGCCCACTTCGACTGGTTCTGTACAAAGAAACAGATTTATGAATAAACAAAGTTACGTGTTTCTGGATTGTGGCCATAAACCATCTTTTGTTGCCGTCCTTTATGCTTTACGAGATTAGAAAAACGGTAACAATGAAACATAGACAGTGGACAATAGATATCTTAATACCTAGGTATATTATTTTTTTATTGATTATAAAAATAATCCAAAAAAGAATTTTTTTAATAATTTCCTGTTAAAAAAAAAATAACAATAATTTAAAATGAAATCAGTAACTCGATGTGTGTATGTACTTACCTAATATGTATGGCGTATATTTAATGATTACTATGTTGAGTGCCAAATTATGTTAATATGAGATAAATTATAAGCTAATGTGTTATTATTGGACTAAAGGGTTGTACAGAGCACAGATGACACATTTCACCACTGATAACCCACATTGTAACGAATTATATCATAACTTTATTTTTCGACTCATTAGAAGATATCTAGTAAGACTTCAGGAATGACATCATACTACATTATATATTTTTTTTTGTGTCTATTGTTAACTTTATTGCTTGTAATAAAGAAATAAATTATAAAGTGCGAAGGTTGTAAGTTTTAAGAATTTAACGATAAGGGTTTAACAATAATGCACTGATTGCATGGGCGCACTGGCTGCGGCGCAATGTGTCGCCAGTTCGATTACCGCACGGGACAACTCTTTGTGTAATCCACAAATAGTTGTGCCGGGTTTTTTAAACGTTTCCCCACACTAGAATTTTCTCCTGTGTCGTGGGTGCGTGCACCAAGCGTGGTGATTACCGCATGAGAAGAGGCTTTTTCAACAGTGGGTTAGCTATATGCTGATGATGCTGAAACCGAACCAAGTCTTAACAAGTAATATGAGACAACATACCTGGTAAACACTGGAGACTTTCTCCTGTGCCTCGATGTAGGCGTCGTAGTCAGCGAGGTGTAGGAAGCGGTCGTGGTGGAGCAATACGTCGGCGATGTGCGCGAACCGTCCCGGCTCGCCCGGGGAGAAGAACCCGCTGCGGATCTGCTCTATGCACTGCCGCAGTTCCGGATTGCGCTCGTAGTACTCGTATGCATTGTAACTGTTTAAGGAGTTTATTTGTTATAAACAATAATGACGACCTTTTTAGTTACCTGTCAAGTAAGAGGTTTTGAAAATTGGGTCGGGTAAATGACGCTTCACGCTACACCGTGTTGCGACTGAGCTCTGAGTCGTAAGTAAACACATTGATTTCATTATAGTACTCTCAAAGAATTCTTTGAACTTAAGTATAATTACAAAACATAATTAAATATATCGGAGATCGTCGCGCGAACGTCACCTCGTAGTGCATGTAGGTACTTATGGGACCCATGTCTCATTTTTTTCATAACCGGTGAAGAGTGAGTCTTACATTATATATGCGCAGTGTGCTATATTATGTTATTCACTGATTAAATATAAATAATTTATCATTTTAAAAACCAGCATTATCCTAGGTCAGTTCGATTTCACCCACACAGTAGTCAAAAAGGAAACAACATAGTTTTTTATGATAATATGTTGATCATAATAATAATATTATAGTACTTTATAGTGATGATTCGTTGTGAAGTTGGAATTTTGCCCGACAAATAGCGAAAGTGTTGCAGGCTTGCAGGTGATGCCAAAATGTAATCGTAAACAATAAACAGATAGTTTCATTTCAGTTATTTGGTTTTTAAATTCCGTATATAAATAGATATCAACACTGAAAGTTGTAAGTAAACACGTATAAAGCTTAAGTATACGTTTTTTAGTTTCTTTATACCTGCTAAAGGCGTGTGAAACTAATCAAGGGCAAATACTTGTCTCTGGTGTAGGTAACTATTTTACGACATTTGTGGATTGACAACTACATGATAAAATATTCGCAATCTTCCTAGAGTAAGCTTTATAACTTTACACACATTTACACTCACTGTTGCAGTAAACCATAGCTGATAACAGTAGGTCGTTACATCATAGTGAATGAAGAAGATAAACCCAGTTGCTGCATTATAATCTAACTGCTAATCAGTACTAGAACATTAATCGCTTTGATTGTAATTACACGCGATATTTTCAATACGACCCTGAGCGTTGTGTCCACGCACTGCTTCGCGTGTATTTCTTGATGCATTACATAAAGCAGTGTTTTGCAATTATACTTCTACTAAAAACATTGATAAGTACAAGGCAACTATAGTGAAAATGTTATTGTAACAGATTAACTAGTAATTAAAACCTTATTAAGTGAGCCATTTAGCTCTAATTAACTTGAACTCTGCCTTTCATGTTCCGTTGTTGCGAGTTTCAGCACATCGGCGTATTTTATTATTACTATAGTAGCGTAGCGTGATAATAACTTTCCTTAAGATTTAAATGTCTATGTAGCGATACGTTAATTACAGTGATTTATCATTTTTATTTTGTCCATGACAATTATTTTACCAGTTTTTCTAAAATGTGCCGTGTCTTGATAAACATTTATATTGTGCACACATAAATAATAAATCAACACTTTTTGTCATCAAAATTATTCGTTACTAATAATATAAAATTAGTTATCTCACCCCTTCTTCTGCAAAGCTTCGACGTCATCGACCCTCATGCCGAAAATAAAGAAGTTGTTCTCTCCAGCTTCCTCGGCCATCTCGACGTTGGCGCCGTCCATAGTACCGATGGTGAGGGCACCGTTCAACATGAACTTCATGTTGCCAGTACCAGACGCCTCGGTACCGGCCGTCGAAATCTTTAACATAAAACACACTACTGAGTAACGAGAAGATTTTTATAATAACTATCGTGAGAGTCGTGAGACATACTAAATTAACTAAAAAATCGCGGGTTACTCACGTGAATATACTGAGAAAAGCTCTACTAGTTTCGAACACAGAGGGGTTCTTCTTCATGAGCAGCGTGCGCTGTCGCGACGCTGTCGCACAGCCTACTGAGAGCTAGTAGAGCTTTTCTCAGTATATTCACGTAAGTCACCCGCGATTTTTAGTTAACGAGAAGATTGTTGGTAGAAGCCACGGAATACATAAAAAAAGTGGTTTATGATGAAGTTTGATAGAAGAAAATCCCCCATCCCCATGCTCTAAATTCTCAAAAGGATAGCAATATTTGTTTTAATAATAACTATCGTGAGATATATCGAGTTAACTAAATAATTACGACCAAAAATTATAGTAGGTTGTGCCACGTCGCCGCGACCGCGCACGCTGCTCATGCAAAAAAGTCCTTATGTGACTCTAAACTAAGAGGTTTTCTCAGTACATTTATGCGAGTAACTCGTAATTTTTGAACTCGTTGGGCGACCTATTGATCTAAAAAATGAGATGAGGGTACAAAAAGCTACTAATAACATTTTCATCAAGCAATTTAGTTTTGTTATTTAAATTCTTGCGTCAGATCATGTTGTCTCGTTGTTTTGGACGAAGTTATCATATTCTTTCAGATGCTTCTATATGAGGACTTGTGTTTGATAAATTTAATCTGTAATTTTAAACTGCGTGATTAGACTTCATCTAGTTAAACTTCGAGAAGAGAGCTTTAACCTGATTAGTGATTAAGTTAATAGTGTACATAGAATATCTTACACGATAAAACACGAATAAATTACATCAAGTAAGTTCATTAACTCAACCATTATTCACTGCTCACTCTCGTGTAATTAACGTCTCGCACGTGTGTAATGATTACTCTCTACAATATGGACTAATACGGTACACACAATAAAAATAATGGTGATAAGGGGAGCCCACGGTAATGAAATTACAATGCATTTTCAATTGTGACTTTTATTGCCTTTTGTGGCATTCCCCACCCAGACAGTATCAATCACATAAATAGATTGTTATATTATAATACTTTTACTTAAGTATATTTTCTTTCTTTAATATATAGAATAGAGATTCGATGACTTCAGCTAAAGGTTCAAGTAAAAATGTTGACGAACCTGTTCACTGAGGTCAGCAGCGGGCATGATGCGCTCAGCCAACGTGACGCGGTAGTTCTCCAAGAATATCAACTTTAATTTGTCTCCAACGTCAGGGTCGTTGTTTACCTGGATAAATACAAAAAAATCAAATTTAAAATGAACAATAACACTTTAATATTATTAAAGGTACAGTAGCAGAAGTTTATACATACAGTGTTACCGACAGCACAAGCCAAGGCAATCATTTGCTTGGCGACATAGTAGCCGGGAGCAGCCTTGCCTCCGATCATGACAGTGCGGGGAGTGACGGGCGCGGACGGGTCGCGCTTGATGCGGTTGTACAGCGTGATGACGTGCAGGATGTTCAGCAACTGACGCTTGTACTCGTGGATACGCTTCACCTGCACGTCGAACATCGACGCCGGGTTGATCTTCACTCCCGTATCCCTCTCAATCAGAGACGCAAGCTTCAACTTGTTCTCCTGCTTCACCTTCATGACCGCTCGTTGGAACGCAGGATCCCTGGACCAGCGCTTCAACTGCTGCAGCTTCTCTAAGTGAACTGTCCAGTCTTCGCCAATCTTGTCACAGATGAGATCAGATAGTCCCGGGTTGCAGAGGAGCAACCAACGACGGGGAGTAATACCATTAGTCTTGTTCTGGAATTTTTCTGGCCACATTTCAAAGAAGTCACGGAATACAGTCGCTTTCAGGATCTCGGAGTGAATTGCCGCTACACCGTTCACAGCGTGAGAACCCACGACACACAAGTTAGCCATGTTCACTCGTTTCTCACCCTCTTCCTCAATGAGCGACATGCGACGCATGCGGTCCATGTCGCCAGGCCAGCGCTTCTCAACTTCCTGGAGATGCAGGAAGTTAATGTGGTAAATCAACTGCATGTGTCTAGGCAACACATTCTCCAACATCGTGGTGGGCCATCTCTCTAGAGCTTCAGGTAGAACGGTGTGGTTAGTGTACGCGCAGCACTGAGTTACCAGCTTCCATGCCTTGTCGTAGGGCACCTTCTCAATGTCGACCAAAATCCTAAGAAGTTCAGGAATAGCGAGCGCGGGATGAGTGTCGTTTAGTTGTATGGCTACTTTCTCAGGAAGGCTTTCGAATGTTGTCCTGACGGCCTCCCTGCTACCAAATTTGGAATTTTTGTATCTCCTGATAATATCTTGTAGAGTGGCAGCACACATGAAGTACTCTTGACGTAAACGCAACTCTTTGCCTTCAAAGAAGTTGTCGTTGGGGTACAGTACTCGGGAAATGTTCTCAGCGACATTACGATCGAGCACAGCTTGGATGTAATCGCCAGAGTTGACTGGAAATAATTTGTAGCATAGTTATCACCTATATAATTCAGCTTCAATCCATGAGTAATTTACAGTTGTGAGAATTTAATTAATTTTTTCGATACTTACAGAATTTCAGGTTGAAGTCGACAGGGCTTTTGGCAGACCAGAGTCGTAGCGTGTTGACGACATTATTGTTGTAGCCGGGAATCGGGTTGTCGTAGGGCATCGCAAACACGATCTGATAACAATATTATCTCTTATATTACTACTACTACTTCACTATTACAATTTCAATTACATTTTCTGTTTGAAATTTATCGACATTTTAGTCAATTTGTGTAGACTGTAGGAGAGTTAGTACATTTTATATCTAGTTGTACTATAATTAATGGAATTAAGTTTTGAAACTGATAAGAGTTTATCCGGGCTATCTAAAAATAGCGTGAAAGTTTATTTATCACTGAACATTCATTCAGCATGAAATAAACACGCGTCACACATCACACAGCATGGGCACGGGACATTTGTTGTTGACACAAGATCATTGTCAACAAGTGCCGTACTCAGACGACTTATATCGATGATAAGCATCGTATTGTTATCTCCGTAAAGTTCAAGTTAAGAAGTTCAAGAAAGAATCAACAACGTATGAAATGCATCAATAATAAATGGATAGTTGTTTATGATATGGTAGCTAAATAATATTTTATACTCTGCCACTACCGATCTATGTATTATCGCTGGTTTCCTATTAAGGTATAGGTATACTTGTACACTTTAACAATTTGGTCAGTGGGGACCGTAACAATAATACCTATCGGTATAAATGGAAAATTGGTGCATGAAGAGCAATTCGCAACTCTGACTGTAGGACGGACGCCTACCTAGAATATAGTTACTAACATAACAAACAGGTATCGTCAGTTAGGTATTTCTGAATGCAATATTTAGGAAGAACGAAAATATTTAGTATATTCTTAGAACTCTCTTTTCAAGAGATTAGGAATCATTATCTAACCAAGAGTTTCTGTTTAAATTTTTGTAAGTAAGGATGAGAGCTGGATTTAGATTTCAGATCATTAATTACAAATTACAGTGTCGGTATGTAATGATTAAACAATCCTTCCCTACTTGATAATGATAGGTACAAATAGGTAAATAACTAACCTAACTAAATAAAAGTGGAGTACCTATTCGAGAATAATAAACTGGCGTCTGGCGTTACAATTTTTTTGTAGAGAAAGTGGGATCTAGTGCTGCTAAAAATACTTAATCGTATTAGGTCAGATTTTTCCAACGCCAGATGTTTGGACATTAATCTGTCCTACTAAAAACTGTCAAATGCCAATTTTATTCTAGTTAGGAATTATCTGATGACTGAAAAGTCGGCCCTTAGTGTTATAATACCATTTTCTACTTGAAAAGAAATGTAGATTTCTCTTTTGTGTACCTGGGTATCAATCCATTTCTTTCCATCAGGCGTGTCGACCACACGGCCGTAGAAGTTGACGGGCAGCATGAACTCGGGGCGCGCCTTCTCCCAGGGGTTGCCGTACCGCAGCCAGTCATCAGGCTCCTCCTGTTGCTCACCGTGTTCAATCTTCTGAGCGAATATACCGTATTCATACCTGATACCTACGAAGTATAGAAGTATATCAGTCTGGATTTAAATAGGATTTGCGTTGAACTGGGCTTATGCACAGATTCGTAACTCTCTGTTTATGCATTTTTTCAGTATGTGCAATAAACAGTTAATAAAGACGTTGTTAAGAATTCTGATTACCAAAAAGCGAATTGTTTTAGTTAATAATATTATGTAAACGTAGATAATATGTCTGGCATGAACATTGCGTGGTGTACGGACGTTGACCTTTTTATTAGTATCACTTATCTTCTTCTGTTGTCTATCAAATTAAAAATCATAAGGTTGCGCATATAGGTAGGGAACTGAACAACAAAATAATACAAATTTTGTTTAATTTATTTACTGTCACATAAATAAACATGCATAACCAACATTTATTAAGTACCCTATTGTGAGTTAACACTACAAAAGGTAGGTAAGATTTATTAAGCAAATAAAACAGGGGATTGAACAATAGAGCTAATACTATAGGCATTCAACATGGTTATAGGTTAAAGTGTTCAATTTAGTGTGTACATTTATAATTGGCGACGCGCCAGCGACGGTGTTGTCAACTGCTTCAAATTAGTTTATGCTGGCTAAAATAATGTCAAGTATGTTCTCCAATGTCCTGTGGATGATCTTTAACAGGTTCTTGAAATAATTTAATGTATGCGGTTGCATCTGATGTCAACATTATGTTAATGATCATACTTTTTATTTCAGTTTAAATGTGCCATTTGAGTTTCTAATTATGTATCAAAATTGCTTTACATGCCAGACTTTCACAAAAAAAAACTGGGCCATTATTATCAACTGTTACCTACTGTTAAATATGCACAACAATTGATCAAATTTTATTTACCACTTCCTTATTTCATTGGAATGCAACATCCATAATTTGTTAGGTTGACTTACCATAACCATAAGCAGCCAACCCAAGAGTGGCCATGGAATCCAGGAAGCAAGCTGCCAGTCGTCCTAGACCTCCATTACCAAGACCAGCATCTTCCTCCAACTCCTCGAGTTCCTCAATGTCTAAACCGAGCTGGTACAGAGCCTCATCTACCGTTCCCTGAATGCCCAGGTTGATCATGGTGTTTTGTAGAGATCTACCCATGTAGTACTCCAGAGAGAGGTAGTACACACGCTATAACAAAAACCTCATTTTAAAGATGAATTTTAAAAAAGGAATACTTTTTAAATAAACTAGAAATAAAAATTATAATGTGATAATAATGTTGTTTTGAACCAAACAATATATTATTTACCTAAGTGTTTTGTAAAAATTAATACTAACAAAAAAATAATTAGAGGAAGTATAATTTTATTTTTGAAAACATGTCTTTGTCATTATATTTATCCATATTTAATTATAAATTTCCACTCTTATTTCCTGTAACACATATTGGTATAGAATTATAATAAATGCACTGACAATGTAATTGTATCATTATAACTATCAGAATTAAAAAGCTTTTTAACAACATAACTTTAGATGTAAACTTTAACATAAGTGGGTAACTCCTGACAAGAAGATAATTTATATATCATTTTGTAGTCTTACCTTGGGGTCTTTTTCATAGTAGTATTGTTGGGTTCGAATCCAGCGCGAGACAAGGTGGTCCCTCACGGTATGGGCCAAGGCAAAGTAGTAGTCTCTTGGAGTCGCAACATTTCTGTCCTTCACAAGAGTGTAATGCACATGACGATTAAATGCTTTCTTCACTTCAGCAACATTTTCTACTGCAACGATACCTCGCACAGAGATTTGTTTCCGCTTATCCGAATCGGATTGTACGCTCATTTTGAATATTCTCGGAGAAAATCAAGTAAAGTCCGTGCAACCGCTAGACCCTATCAACCCTGACTGATCAAATGCGGTTTGCGATATCGGTCACCTTGAGAAGGTCAAACATATAAAGCTACCACAGACTACCAACCGGTTTAATGCGATTATGTTTTTTATAAGTTTTACTATCCTCAGTTTTATTAACTATATCCACATTACTGTTTCTACAGTGGCCATAAATGACTCTAGACAAAATATATCATATTTTTTGAGCGGCAATCGTAACATCAAAATGTATAATTTAAATTTTTGAAATATTGAAACCTTCAATTGAAATTTGACAGCTGTCATGTGTCAAACTCAGCTGATGATAGCGTTGTTGTCTAAGTGACATTGAAAATATCTATTCCATGGACAATTTTGTAGTTCCGTCTAGATTGTGCTGATATTCTCGTTATACTCATCGATCATTAGTCGAGTGGTTTTTTTTGAGGGGGGAGGGAAATTCAAAGTATGACTGCTCCCGCCTGGGTGAGGCGGGAAGGAGTGTCAGACACTTACTTACTAAAAACCACCCCGTTCCTTCTCCTGCACGTTGAGCCGAATTCGAATTAGTCGAATGGATTCTGTACTTATTATACTTACTCTTTGGAGTGAATGAAGTGCGACCATAGATATATAACATAGATGTGTGACTATTGTCTACGGGTAGAATTTAAGATCCATCTCGACGGTAAATTCATAAACATACTGTTGTTTCTTTTTTACTTATGTTTCTTTGCTTATGCAGAAAGAGACAACACATTATTGTCATTCTGGCAATAATTGTTTGACGTCATCAAAAATACCTAGTTCTGCCGAATTCGCCATCTTGGTCCCCGTTATCAGTGCATGTCAGTGGTACATCAGCTGTCAAAACATTGGTCAATAATATTTTGTTACGAAAATTTGTAGAATTCCTGTTATTTTTGTGCGTGGTAAACAAAGAAATTATTGGTTAGTGAGAAGAACTATGCCCGGGTGTAGTGTTATTGGATGTAGCACTAAAAATATCACTAAACCGGCAGGTGTAACATTACATCGGTAAGTACTGTTATTTTTCATTAAAATATCTCTGTTTTTTAAACTATTCAAGTGCGCTTGCTGCAAATTGACTAAATACAATACTTTTCTAACTAATGCAGTGCTTATTTTCATTAATTTTAGTTGAAATACGTCTAAAACTTTTTTCATTGAAAAATAGTGATGTAGATGTTTGTTCCTGTATCGATAATTTTATCGTACAAGTAGAACAAAAACTATTCTAAATTCTGAATGATAAAGTGCATTAATTTGTCGTAATGACAAAATGCAAAAACATTAAATACTCGTCAAAAATTTCATTTTATCGACAATATTCCACCATAATCAATACCTACGTAATGTTATAAATAATACAATAGATGAATAATTTTTGTACAATATAAGATACGTAAAATTCTTGTGGGAAAAGCAATTTTTTCAAAATTGTATTTTTATCAAATACTGCTCGAGGGACTCAAATGAAGCAAACAAATGAAATATAACTCCTCCGCTATCTATCACTATCATTTTAATGTACAAACATTTTCATTCAGAGCTTAGTACAGTATCTATAGAATCTTTAGAGATAATCTCTGTTCGATTGGATCAAGTAAGTTAAATTATAGTAATTATACGTATATTTATGTTGCAGCCTCTAGCCAGATCTGTGCATGAAAATGAACTTGGAACCAGCTCTGGAGTCGTCTCGAAAGATGGTTTTGGAGATTACAATACAGGGAAACAATACGAAAAATACAAAGATATTGTAACTATATTATAAATCTTGGTTTTATGAATACTTTGAAACAGTTTTATTTTTCAGCCCTCAAAAATTACTTAACCTTAAGAATGTAAATGCTGACCAGTCGATGGTAAATCCTTTTCGTAAATTACGATACATATGTATCGTGAAAGGTATGATGTGAATGTATGGACACGATCGACCGGAGTGACAGTGCACGCAGTAACTGCTAAACATATTTCGCTAATATTTTTAGTAATGTTTAGTAGCTAGATAAAAATCAAATTCAGATGAATCATAAAATAATGATATGTTATCGATAAATCAACTAAAACCAATACCAAAATATCGATACTTCTACAGTTTCAATAGTCACATCCCTAGTTCTATCCGCCATTATAGATGACCAAGTGAAGTTTACGTAGGCACGCTTTTTCGTAGTTGCCTTATATCCATAGTCTTATCATATCAGTGAGTGCGACTACTGAGCTTATCAAATATCCCGGTTTTCTATATATTTATTATTTTGGTATATATTTGTTTTAGGTATCAAAATATCGAATCGTTGTACTTTTTAATAACGCTAAAATTAGTATGTGTGCTTCGTCTGCCTTATATCCCGCCACAGCTTTGATGATATTATGGTATTAATTATTTAAGTGTTAAGAACAAAATAAAAACACAGATGTGTAACATTCTTTATATATTTATTACATTAATTGTAAAATATAGGTGCAGTGCCTAACTATAGAAAATAAAAAAAAAGTTCGATTGGAACACCTACGCAAAAATAAATAGTATTTACTATTCGTACAACATTATTTACAATCAAATAATGTTTCGATGTAAATTAAATTAAGTATTTTCATATTATATGGTTATGAAAAAATACTGAGCGCATGGGTCACCTATATACATTTAACGTATAACATTCGTCATTTTCTACAATGCCCTTTTGACTTTTTTTGACATAAACCCCTCTGTGGTTCAAAACTAGTACAGCTCTATTCTCAGTATTTTCACGCGAGTAACCCGCGATTTTTAGTTAATTGACATAAATGTAATTAAATGACCTTAAAGTGGATTTAGTCTGACAAATATTCTTACAGGCACATGTAAATTTTAAATGCACTCTAGTTTTATAACAATTAAATACTAGTAAGGCAGTATCTAATAAAATAAGTAACATTTAATATCAAACTCAGGTAAAATGAGTTCACATAATAAATTAATAAGACTTTTTCTAAACCTAGACTGACCCAATATCAAAAACGGTTAGACCACGTTTTTATTGTAATTTGGTATTTACATGCCGGTCGGCTTATAGATTACAGAATAACTTCATATCTTATAACTATATTTAGTCAATATCAATCATATTCAGACAGATCTTACCGAGAATCAACCATATTTATATATATACAACAACATAACATCACGCCTTTTATCCCCAAAGGAGTAGGCAGAGGTGCACACAGAAGTGACACCCACTTTTCACTATTTATGTTATGAGTCCCACGTAATAGGGGGTGAGCCTATTGCCATATACCGGGCACAATTCCAGACTTAGTGCTACTACCGAGATTCTTTTTTAAAAACCCAGTAGTACTTTGTCCGACCCGGGAATCGAACCCGAGACCCCTTGCCCGGCAGTCGCATTTGCGACCACTCGGCCAAAGAGGCAGTCAGGCAGCATAGTTATATATATTTTAATTTTTAATAAATGCAAAAATACAACAATAGCTCAACTTATAAGAAATGACTCCAAAGAATTTCATTCGCTTTTTACATTCTAAGTATTTCGGCTTCTAACGCGTCACGTTTAATTGAAAATATTTTGTAATCAAATCGCTAGGATAGATATTATTTTATTTAGTGCAAGCTTGACTTGTAAGTCTATGAAGATTTTAAAATAATCTCTGGAAGCCGAATTTATGTCTAAATCTCTTTTGCACGGAACAAAAAACTTCTGTGAACTATTCCCGAATAGGGGAGCTCGTGGCTGGACATAGGTACACCTGCTGTGGGTAGAGGTCACCACGGATGCGGACTGCGCGTACGCCATTAGCTGCAGCGCGAAATTCCAGTTCACCAATCAAAAGGTCATCCGCATAAACTGCCCAATCCGCTGGCTGACGAACAATTCGTAATGTTGTCTGAAAAATATCATCAAATTTTAAGAAATTATGACACTCACAGTCACAACGCCGTAGCATCTAGTGCGTACCCTTAATTAGATAAATAATAAACGAATAATTATTGCAAATACTGAAATCCATCATTTTGCAGAGGAGATATCTAAATGAATAGTTGCCAAATATTTTTTACTGGGGATTCAATTGTAAATGACATAACTAATAATTATGCATTTATATTCTTTATGACTAACATTGTAACCACACGGCTTATATTTAACTGCACTTGCAGTTAGGAATTTATTTATATCTACCTAAAGTAAAAAATTAAGTTTATTGGACTAGTACTCGTAGTTTTAATTAATGACTCAGAACCTGACAATTGGTAACGTTAAATCGTAGGTGGATAACAAATTAACACGAATTTATCATCATCTTGAAAACGTCCTCTGTTGAACATTATTTTACAGTTTTCGAACACCTTACTAGGTCAGTGATTTTATCATCTACCATTGTTATAAAGAACTATAATAGTTTTAAGTGATGGGGCATGAGTTTGAACTCCCTACAGTCCCGACTTGATAAGATCTTGATAAGACTTTCTACGCAACAACAAAATAGTTTCAAGAATTTGAACTTACACAGCTACCGGGTATCAGTCGAGCAGTGCGTTGTCGTCGTTCGGGTCCCCATTCTCCAAACCATGCGTTCAACACTACCAGCTGCCTCTCTCGCTGAGATTCGAAGTACGCTCGTACATTGACGTGAGCCAACACGTTGGGTCGAGGCCATTCACGGGCAGTATCCATCAAATCTATTGCGAAAGAGTGAAGAAGTGGCCGCAGTCTGAAAAAAAAACAAATCAACAATGTCAATTTGGTATTTTTGTTCCTCGATGGAATTCATCATTGGAATATGATTGCGTAGCGAATTGATCAACAAAGTTTACTTTTATTATTCAGTTGATGATTCCGAAAAGTAATGTGGGTGGATTAGTTATTTCAACAGAATTATCATTAATGATTTCCTTTATAAACGCGCCACACCAACATTTTCCTTATTTTCCCTAAAGATAG